GAGCCGTGGCCGCTGAGCCTGTGCGTCCAGAGCCTGTGCTCCGCAACGGGAGAGGCCACGACAGTGAGAGGCCCACGTACTGCAAAAAAAAAAAAAAAAAAAAACTAATGCACAGAAATCTCTTGCATTCCTATACACTAATGATGAAATATCTGAAAGAGAAATTAAGGAAACACTCCCATTTACCTTTGCAACAAAAAGAAAAAAATACCTAGGTATAAACCTACCTAAGGAGACAAAAGACCTGTATGCCGAAAACTATAAGACACTGATGAAAGAAATTAAAGACTATACAAACAGATGGAGAGATATACCATGTTCTTGGATTGGAAGAACGAACATTGTGAAAATGACTATACTACCCAAAGCAATCTACAGATTCAATGCAATCCCTATCAAACTACCAATAGCATTTTTCACAGAACTAGAACAAAACATTTCACAATTTGTATGGAAACACAACAGACACCGAATAGCCAAAGCAATCTTGAGAACGAAAAACGGAGCTGGAGGAATCAGGCTCCCTGATTTCACACTGTACTACAAAGCTACAATAATCAAGACAGCATGGCACTGGCACAAAAACAGAAAGACAGATCAATGGAACAGGATAGGAAGCTCAGAGATAAATCCATGCACGTTTGGTCACCTTATCTTTGATAAAGGAGGCAAGAATATACATGGAGAAATGACAGCCTCTTCAATAAGTGGTGCTAGGAAAACTGGACAGCTACATGTAAAAGAATGAAATTAGAACACTTCCTAACACCATACACAAAAATAAACTGAAAATGGATTAAAGGCCTAAATGTAAGGCCAGACACTATAAAAGTCTTAGAGGAAAACACTTAGAGGCAGAACACTCCATGACATAAAACACAGCAAGATCCTTTTGGATCCACCTCCTAGAGAAATGGAAATAAAAACAAAAATAAACAAAGGGACCTAGTGAAACTTAAAAGCTTTTGTACAGCAAAGGAAACCATAAACTAGACGAAAAGACAACTGTGAGAATCGGAGAAAATATTTGCAGATGAAGCAACTGACAAAGGATTAATCTCCAAAATATACAAGCAGCTCATGCAGCTCAATATCAAAAAAAAAAAAAACCCAATCCAAAAATGGGCAGAAGACCTAAATAGACTTTTCTCCAAAGAATATATAGAGATCGCCAACAAACACACAAAAGGATGCTCAACATCGCTAATCATTAAAGAAATGCAAATCAAAACTACAATGAGGTATCACCTCACACTGGTCAGAATGGCCATCATCAAAAAATCTACAAACAATAAATGCTGGAGAGGGTGTGGAGAAAAGGGAACCCTCCTGCACTCTTGGTGGAAATGTAAATTGATACAGCCACTATGGAGAACAGTATGGAGGTTCCTCAAAAAACTAAAAATAGTACTACCATACGACCCAGTAATCCCATTACTGGGCATATACCCTGAGAAAACCATAATTCAAAAAGAGTCATGTACCACAAAGTTCATTGCAGCACTATTTACAATAGCCAGGACATGGAAGCAACCTAAGTGTCCATCGACAGATGAATGGATAAAGATGTGGCACATATATACTATAGAATATTACTCAGCCATAAAAAGAAACGAAATTGAGCTATTTGTAATGAGATGGATAGACCTAGAGTCTGTCATACAGAATGAAGTAAGTCAGAAAGAGAAAGACAAATACCGTATGCTAACGCATATATATGGAATTTAAGAAAAAAAAATGTCATGAAGAACCTAGGGGTAAGACAGGAATAAAGACACAGACCTACTAGAGAACGGATTTGTGGATATGGGGAGGGGGAAGGGTGAGCTGTGACAAAGTGAGAGAGAGGCATGGACATATATGCACTACCAAATGTAAGGTAGATAGCTAGTGGGAAGCAGCCGCATAGCACAGGGATATCAGCTCAGTGCTTTGTGACCGCCTGGAGTGGGGGGATGGGGAGGGTGGGAGGGAGGGAGACGCAAGAGGGAAGAGATATGGAAACGTATGTATATGTATAACTGATTCACTTTGTTGTAAAGCAGAAACTAACACACCATTGTAAAGCAATTATACCCCAATAAAGATGTTAAAAAAATAAAATAAAATAAAAAATAATAAAATCCCCAAATAGCTAATTAATTACCAAAAATAATTTAAAACAAAACTTATATTTGGTTCAAAATGGGGGCATGACCACAATTTCAAACCCTCTGAAACATGGGTTGTATTCGTACATCTGTCTTCACAAAGCTGTACAATCACATCATACTTTACAATTTATACAGCTTTTTCTCATCAGTTCTCCCAGTTTTCACATCAGCTTTGTGATTTAGGCAGGGCAGGGATGACTATACCCCCATTTACTAAGTTCAAAGGCATTTCATGCACACAGATTCAGTAAGCTGTGTTGCTGGGTCCACTGCCCAGTCTGGTGCGTCTTCCCACGAAACCATTCTGCTTTATCAAAATTCCCCCCACCCCATTTACCTCATCAAGGCAGTGGTATGATGGTCCATTTCCAGCTTTTTGTAGGCCAGTCCTATGACCCGGAAGCCCTGTGTCGTGTAAATCTGAAGTTCACTAACAAAACTAGTTGGTACTGTTCAGAAAATAACACAAGATTAGTATGCAATATGAACTCAGCTAGAACTGGGAGAGAAATTCTTTACAAAGAGATCCAACTCTTGCCCAAGAAAACACACCTCTAAAAATGTACACAAACAAGTCAGTGGGAATGTTAAATATTACTACATTGTCACGATTGACCTCTTGGGATCCAGTGAAGCAGAAATGAAAAGGAAGCATTCAAAAAACAAAAAAACAAAAAGAAGAAGAAGAATGGGAAAAGTGTATGATTCTTTTTTTCTCCAGTTTAACCATCAAATATTTATTGAGTCTACTATGGGTCAGGAATTAGCTACGCAGAGATTGCACTGCAATTGCCACTCTGAGGATCTTTGTCTAGTAGGGTAACAGCCAGTAGACTAACAATACAATCGAATGAGATCCTTGCTATGATCCAGGCAGTTACAGCACGCTATGGAAACACTTGGTGCATCTATCAGACAGGGAGGATGTGATTAGATGGAGAAGGGAAAGGGCATTTTGGCTGAGGGAGCATCATGTGCTCAGGCACAGGGCCATGAGACAGCAAACCTTGATAGTTCATCTCAGGGGGAGCACAGGATGTGAAGATAGGAGTGGTAAGGAAACTCTGGGAAGTTTGATAGGAGTCAGATCACGAAGGCCTTAGATATGGTCCTAAAGGAGATTATCCTGGAGCCTATGAGAAGCAATCAAAGAATGAAAGCAGGAATGTGCTAACATAATTATACTGTGTGACAGAAAAACCAATCTGGTCACAGTGTGAAGGGTGAATTAGAGTAGGGGACACTGGGGGGCAGAGAACAAATTCACCAACTATGAAGTGATCCAGTGGAGGGATGATGAGGGCCTGAGGTGATGGAGTGACAGGGCCATGGATTAGCAATTGACAAGACAGAGGCACTGAGGGAGAGAGAGGAATCCAGGAAGAATCCTAAACTGGGATGGGGGAGTAGTACTTTCATTCACTAAGATGGGAAATAGAGAGAGTGAGAAAGATAAGCTTGGTTCTGGTACCGAGTTTGAGATGCCAGTGAGTCATCCAATTGGTGATGGCCAGTAGGCAATTGGATTCATCGATCAAATGCTGAGGGGACATATGTGGGTTGGAAATACAGATTTGCCCATTGTAATATAAGTCTGTCCACTTACCTGTCTCAGGTTGGCAAAAGCTGGCCACCCTCTCTGGTGCACCTTTCATGAACGCCAGCCAGTCACCCCCCATCTCTTGGACGATGACCGTCATCCTCTGCAGTGCTGATGAGAATGGGAACTGATGCAGGATTGCAATTCCTTCCACTGGGACCTGGGTGAGGGATGGGGCATGGAGAGGGACACACCACATAGCTTCTACCTACTGGAAATTAATTACTCCTTCTCCAATCCTTAGCTTAGCAAATAAGGGAAACAAGGTCTCACCAATTTTCACATGTGGAATTCAAAGAAGACACATCTCTGAGCTTTCAAAATTGTGGGCCTGCCAGGACTTTCCTTCTGAGTTGGGTTTTGTGGGGTGGAGAGCAGGCAAAACTTACCTGGCTGGCTGTTTTGCAGGGCTTAACAACCATGGCACATGCCGGTGCTCCCTTGATGTGGAAATCATGCCCGGAAACCACCATTTCCTATTTCAAACAGGATGTTTCATTGTAGAGATTTCTTTCTTGTTCATCCACTAATACTGTGCTCAAACCCTTCCCTTGAGAAAATCTCAAGTTGTCTCAATATATTCTCCTCCCTCAGCTATACGGAGGTGAACCAGACTTAATTCGCCACACACAAAAATAATGCATCGGAAATGCTAGAAACTTGAAGGGCAGACACTTCTGAATTATGCATGCAATTTCTTCTGCTTTCTCTGCTGGAAGGTGCTGCATAAAGGCTCATTCTCCATTTCTGAAGGACTTAACTTGAAAACACTGAGCGTGAATAGCCCACACCTTTCTGCCTTTTTTCTCCTGGTTCACTCTCTTGCTCTTCGCTCTCTGTCTAATTTGGATTGATGGTCCCCAGAGTACAGCAGGGCCGGGACTGTGATGTATGTGGTTAATGTTCAGTAAACACTCGGGAATTGCTATAATAAAGACCCTAAATTATAGTCAGAGGAACCTTTTACTCAAAGATGCCAAAATGCTTTATAATCATCTCATTGAGTGGTAGAAAAAAATCTCAGAGAAGAAATTATAATCCCTACTTAAAGGTACAGAAACAGTAACCCAAGAAGGATGGAGAAAGTTACATCAGACTGCTACAGAACCATGCCCTATTAGCGACGGAAGGGACCCTAAAGATTGTCTCCTTCAGTGGGGCTCACACATGTATCACAGAGGCCTGGAGCTGAACCAGGCTATACGGGGTGGAGGCGGGCTTGTAGCTAAGTAGGTGGGGATGTGTGTTCCCTAAGCTGTGCTTTTACTCCCCATTTTGCTATCTCAACCAGAGTAACTCCAACGATTTGGTTTGTGTAGGATGCTGTTGAATAAAATTTCCTTTTAGGAAAAGATTCCAGCTTTTTTGTTTTCTTTTAGGTGAACCCTGCTGGTCTAATTCAATCCCCTCATTTTAAAGTTATGGAAAACCCCAACAGGAGAGATGACCTCACGAGGTGAAAGAGTCAATCAGAACAGAGCCAAGACTAGAACCGGGAGAGCCGGATTCCTCCTCCTGAACAAGGCCATTTGATCTGAAATCTACTTCAGAGTCTCAACAAAATCCCTCATGGTTTTCCTTTTCATTGTCTAGTCTTAGAGGCAAAATTAATACTAAAGTAGTAGGCATAAAACTCCTGGTAACAACGAATTATCCTAAGCACTGGGGACAGTGATGTTTCCTAATCCCCATGTTCTAGATAACTCTGAAACCAGACATGGCTCATACTACAGCTGGAAAGGGTTAGAAAATAATTATATAATAATTATACTAATACTATTGAGCTGGTAATATATTCCAGGCACAGCACCAGGGATTTTTTTTAATGCGTCCTTCCACTTAATCCTCACAATAACCCTAATATGGAAATACACTGTACAGAGGAGAAAACTGGGGCTCGGATGAGTTTGCCCCTCACTGCCATATGTACTCCATATTGGAGACCTCACATTTTTATGAGTATTGAATAGCTATGATAACACCTGGCTTGGTCTGGCATTGAAGAAGCTTCTTAGAATCTTTGCAGAACAGAAGCTTACCCAGGTAGTAGCTTCAAACATTTTGAGGTCCAGTGGGTCTCCATGGATGGTCCCATCCAGGAGGATCAGAGAATGGCAGCTGGCCATGGCTGCAGACAGTGGGCCCCATGGCAAAGCCTCGCCTGAGGCAAAGCTGTGGACTTCCTGGAAGCTAAAGGAGAAAAGGGAAAGGGCTTTAGTCTATTCCTGCAGGCCAGAATGGAGCTTCTAGAGGTGACCATCCTTTTAAAAAATAAGTTGATATACTTTGTTACATTACATGTCTACACTCTAATCTCCCCAAATGAATAGTGCTTCATTCATCCATCGTCCTTACATAAGTTCAGTGAGTATGAGAAAAAATCCTGAGGTTCTCTCAAGCTCTTTCTTCCCTCTTTTCCTTAACCTCTCTCTGGCACTGATTTAAATCCAGAGGTATAGAAAGAGCTAGAAGTATCACCCTTAGTTCCAAGTGCGTCCACTCCCACCTGAGCTTCCAGACCACTTTATCTCTTATGCTGTGAGACAGAACAGGCTAGCTCATACTATAGCTACTTGTGTATATCTGTGTATCTCCTTCAATCTATTCTTCAGGGCAGGGCTGTCTCTTCCATATCTCTCTCTCCAACATATCTGATTTTTGGTCCACAGTAGACAGTCAACAAATTTAAGAGCAAATAAATGAATGAGTTGGTTACTGGAAATCTGAAAGACCGTAATGGCAAAGAAATGAATTTTTTTTTTTTTTTTTTTTTTTTTAGTATGCGGGCCTCTCACTGTTGTGGCCTCTCCCGTTGCGGAGCACAGGCTCCGGACGCGCAGGCTCAGCGGCCATGGCTCACGGGCCCAGCCGCTCCACAGCATGCGGGATCTTCCCAGACCGGTGCGTCCCCTGCATCGGCAGGCGGACTCTCAACCACTGCGCCACCAGGGAAGCCCCAAGAAATGAAATTTTTTAAAGACATTTTGAAAAGGACACGGCATTCTCCTCTTCCACCCTGGCATCTAGGATCTGTATTGCAGCCATCATTACCATTGCTTTCTGTAGAAAGTGCCCTCATCTAAAATCTACCGAGATACAACTCACACATCATATGCAGGGTTCTTTTACTAACTCAGAGTTGAAGTCATCAAGTTTGGCATTAGGCCTACAAAAGGATGTCCTCTGGACCTTATTGGTCAGTCCCTCCTTACATGTTTAGCACACTAAGTGGTTCACAAGGCAGGCCATACTATTTGGTGGACCCTGAGCGGCTGAAGGTGCTTCCTGGATTAAGGCCAAATCTGACTCTTGGAGCCAGTCAGAATCTACTTGTTCCTCCTCCTCCACATGTCAACTTCCTTCAGATCTGTGGCCAGCTTGGCTGTACCCCCTTTAATACTCCCTTCCTCTGGGATTACACAGGAACCTCTAGCTGTGATTCCAATGTGCAGTTTCCAGACCTCTGACCTTCCTAGTTACTGTTTCTTGAAAAATTTGTATTTTTTTACTATTTACCATAGTTTGTCTTAAAACATGGTCTCCAGGATCAGACTATTATCTCTCATGATATGGACCCTGCATTTCCTTCGGTTGCTCTAGCGTTTTGTTCCTGAAAGCATATACATCAGAATGTTAACTCGTAATTCAGCCATATTTCTTCCTGGCTTCCTCATCCAAGCTTCTTTAAGAGCTCAAAAACCTCTCGACTGAGCCTGTTGATCATATCATTATATATTGAAAGATCAAGTTATCTCAGTGGTTACAATATGTCTCTGGTATTTTAGTAAACATCTAAAAGGAAGCAGTCACCATCAATGATTAACACAGATTCTCAAGCTCACGCTGTAAAGCAAACACAGATCAGGAAAAAAGAATCTTATCTTTAAGATGGCACACAAACTGTCTTCCGTATGTAATTCTGAATACACAGTTCTGAGTTTCGGAGGATTGGGCCAGACCTGGTTTGCACAAAAATAAATAGAACCCTCTGTCATCCCTGACCTTGAACTATTATTTGAATGTTTATGACTTATCAGGACGAGGTAGCTCAGGTAGACTTCCAATGACTTTAAAGTACCTGGCACATTAGGCAGGCCCTCTTTGGAAAAGATAAGAATTATTAGAAAAGAGCTTACAGTTTACAATAAGATATCTAACAGCAACTAAGTCAGGTGCTGACTTCTTGCTTAGAATTTAATCTGTTTTCTCTTATTCTATCAGTTAAATTTGTCAATTAAAAAAACTTTGGGGGAATTCCCTGGTGGTCCAGTGGTTAAAAATCCGCCTTCCAATGCAAGGGACGTGGGTTCAATCCCTGGTCAGGGAACTAAGATCCCACATGCCGTGGGGCAGCTAAGACTGAGTGCCGCAACTACTGAGCCCGTGAGCTCTAGAGCCCATGTGCCACAACTAGAGAGCCCACAGGCTGGAACTACTGAGCCTGCGCACCACAGCTAGAGAGAAGCCTGCACATCACAACGAACAGCCCATGTGCCGTGACTAAGACCTGATGCAGCCAAATAAATAAATAAATACTTTTTAAATTTTTTTAAAAAGCTTTTAATTGCTCTTTTAGTCATTTAGAGCCAACTTTGACCTTTTTGAAGGAGGGAAAGGAGGGGGGGGAAGGAGAGTGACAGGTTGGATTAATCTATCAATAATCTAAATAGTATATCAATTATTTTTATTTAAATTTGACAAGTCACTTTTAGAAACAGAAAGTTTTAAAAGTTTTGTGAATAAGATGATGTCAATTCAATAAGGAGAAGAGCATTCAAAAGATGGAACATATTAAGTTCACTTTAAATAAACAAACATTTATTGTGCATCTACTATGTGTGCCTGCTATAGTGCTATATGGCATTAGGGACACAAATATAAATAAGAAAAAGACTGCTCTCTGAATGCTCACATATGTGAATAAATGCATACATTTTTTATAGACACTGAAACAGGAAAATACTAAAAACAAGAAGACCGGGCATATATCCAAATCTATCTTCAAGAGAAAATGAAAAGAACTTTAGAAAGTTACCACTTGTAACAGCCTCCTTCTATAGACTAAAATGGTTAGAAGCACCAGGATTAATTTTTCAACTCCAGAAATGGGCTTGTTTATAAATAATACATTAATATGAAAATGTGTTAAACATATATAATTAAAACATTTTATAGATAAATCGTATGTCATTTGCATAATGCAGAAGAATCATGATGTACCTTTTATGTATAAGATGCTTTGTGATTTAGGTTGCAAGTATGAGAGGGGACTATTTTCATTAAAAAACAAAACCTGAGCTCATGTAGCTCAATATCTAAAAAACAAACAACCCCACCAAAAAATGGGAGGAAGATCTAAGCAGACATTTCTCCAAAAAAGACATACAGATGGCTAAGTGGCACATGAAAAGACGCTCAACATCACTAATTATTAGAGAAATGCAAATCAAAGCTACAATGAGGTATCACCTCACACCGCTTAAAATGGCCATCATCAAAAAATCTACAAACAATAACTGCTGGAGAAGGTGTGGAGAAAATGGAACCCTCCTACCCTGTTGCTGGGGATGTAAATTGATACAGCCACTATGGAGAACAGTATGGAGACTCCTTAAAAAACTAAAAATAGAGCTACCATATAATCCAGCAATCCCATTCCTGGGCATATATCTGGAGAAAACCATAATTCGAAAAGACACATGCACCCCAATGTTCATTGCAGCATTATTTGCAATAGCCAGGTCACGGAAGCAACCTAAATGCCCATCGACAGATGAATGGATAAAGAAGAAGTGGTACATATATATGATGGAATATTATTCAGCCATAAAAAGGAATGAAATTGGGTCATTTGTAGGGATGTGGATGGATCTAGAGACTGTCATACTGAGTGAAGTAAGTCAGAAAGAAAAAAGCAAATATTGTATGTTAACGCATATATGTGGAACCTAGAAAAATGGTACAGATGAACTGGTTTGCAGGGCAGAAATTGAGACACAGATGCAGAGAACAAACGTATGGACACCAAGGGGGGAAAGTGGCAGGGGGTGGGGTGGTGGTGTGATGAATTGGGCGATTGGGATTGACATGCATGTACTGATGTGTATAAAATGGATGACTAATAAGGACCTGCTGTATAAAAAAATAAATAAAATGAAATTCAAAAGCAAAAAAGACAAAAAAATTAATTTAAAAAACCCTGAAATCACCTATACCTCAATTTAAAAAAAAAAACCCTCAAAACCTGAATTTGTCAT